CCGGATGTGCGTGCTGGACGTGGGCTCCACGGGGCATGACAGAGCTCTTTCTGTTGGTGGACATGCCGCGCCTGCAAGGAGGTTCACGCAGTGTTTTCCGGCCGCACATGGAAGCAGCAGTCGATGTGAAGAACACGACCTCGTGTTGGGAGGCGTCAGTCTCCGAACCCAGCAGAGTTTTGCCTGTGTCCCTTCCTCTAGGCACAGTCAGCCATCGCAACCGTAGTCGGCCTCTGCGCCGTATATGCGGCAAGACACGGTTGAAGAGACGGCCGTCGAGGGATCGCGCATCAATCCGTGCGCAATTTAAGTTTTTAGACATAGCAAGTATAACTGCAAAGGACTTGTCAGGCTGCACGGCAGCAGGCAGCAAAAAGTCACATCACAATGCGTCATCGCCGTCATCGCTTTCCCTGGACTCAGAAATTTCAGCGAGTGCATCATCGACGAGGCACGGTCTCCGCAGAACAAGTTGCAGAACCTCTGCATACCTCTGCCATGTATCGAGGTGCCCGGACAAGAAAGCTGGCATTAATGAACTCGGGGAGCGCATTTCGGGCCGTTTGTCCTCGTGCTCCCGAAAATGTTCCGACATGTTTTGGTCTGGACCCATCAGCCGCCCAAAAAGGAAAGCTCGTGCTGGTCGACCTACCCCCTTGCCCAGCCCTGAACCACGATCGCCTCACGCATCAGGCTTCCCTCATCCGCTATTTCTGGAACGATCGTTGGCATGTCTGGAGCTCGGCTGGGTTTAGGGCGAAATGGGCGCTCTTTCTCAGAACCCACAAAAAGCAGGTGCAGAATCCTGAATTCATAGTATTAGTAAGATTCCGTATAATAACTTCCGTAAAATACTCCGTTCCTTTACCAGGCCACACTTGTAGAAATGAATTCATATGTGTTTTGGTTTAGCCCAAAACCCGATTCTAATCACTAAAGCCGCTACAGTAACCTTGGTAGTGACCCTGAAGGGCCGCCCTGTACACGGAACCCGTAAATGTAGCCGATTCTCATGATCAACGCCGGCTGTGAATCAAGCACCCTTGCAGGGTGACCAGGTTTCAGGATAAGTATTGTTATAGCAGCCTAAGCAGGTAGAATAGGGTTCCTTGTGCGGCTTCCTCTAAAAGTGGCACGATCATAGTTTTAATGCAGGGGTTTTATTTAGTGACATTAATGAGGTTCCGCTGAAAGGGTCTCGGTAAGCGTGACTATCAGAGGCTAACGTAGCAGGTTTTAATGATTAGCATTGGGTTTGGGTAAGCAGTATACGTAGGAAACGTTGTCATAAGAAATAGTTAATCGACCCCTGGAATACTCGCGTGTATACCTTCACCGAGAGAAGAAGCGCATAACGTGTATACACTCGCATACTGATAGAGTCGACACCAGGGACAGGATCACTTTTTGTAATTATGGGAGAGGTGAGCCTGGATTATATTGATGATCGGCAATTTGATGGATGGGGCAGATCAAGAGAGAGCTGCATACACAAACCCCAAATCAGAAACCCCTAAACCAGTGGGTTTAGGTTTAGATGGTTAAGGCTCGGGGGGTTTAGGGTTCAGAGGTTGAGGGCGACACCTTGATCATAGACGGTTCGGAACCCTAAACCCTAAACCCTTTCAACCTACACCTCAAACCTAGACTCCCAAGCCGGCGGGCCCTTAGCAGGACAATCCGAAGCAGAATCTAGCTTCTGGTTTACGGTGTAAG